TCTCTCTCTCTCTCTCTCTCACACACACACACACACACACACACACACACACACACGTCTCCTGCACTTATACCATGGTTTTAAATCAGTGACCAGAGTTTAGGAGAATGTGACCGGAAGTCTCTAGTGACTACATCAATTCTGTAGAGGCCTCTTTGAGGAATTCAGTTATCAGAAGTGAAATAAAGACTGAAGAACCGATTGCATAGCAAGCCAACAGTTTAATCAACGCTGCCGGAAAATACACCATAAGCAAGTAGTTTTTTTAAGGCAGTAGAAATCTTGTAAGCATGAAAAGATCACTCACCAATAACACACCTTATCAGTGAAGTTTAGAACCCAACAAAAAATTCAAACCCAAGGGAAATTTGTTGCCAAGTAAATGCAAAGGGCAAGGAATATGATACCATTCTTAGGTGAAAGAGGATTCTTTGTAGTAATGTTTTAACTTACAATACAGTGAAATGTTTCTTTTAAAATATATCTTATATTCCTCTGGGTCTCTATGACTCATCACAAACAAACAAAACTTTCCACTATGATTTTCTGTTTCTTAACTTTACTGCCCAAATTCTTTTGAACAAGCCACATTTTCAGTTTATCCATCTATAGCTTTCTACTGTTTCGCATCCACCCAGCTAAATTACATGAAACAGAAACATAAAGTTAACTCTGTTGTTGTACTTTGAAGAGCAAGACACTCTCATCTGACTTGCAACCCTGTTATGGAGATGTATGGGGCAATTTAATTCTTGGGGCCTTGAGTGGCAATCTGTATTGACAAGGAAAGGCCCAAGGCAGGGGTCCTCAAACCATTTAAACATGGGGCCAATTCATGGTCCCTCAGACTGTTGGGGGCCTGGACTGGCTTAGTGGAAGTGGCTACGTGGTCATGTGATTGGGTGGACATGGCCAATTTAACAGTCCATTGAACAATGCACACAAATTAAACTCTAATTTGTTTTGCTCCTGGGGGTGTTTTATTTGCTTTTGTTTGCATATTGCTGTTTTGGTTGCCTTTATTTTTTACTAGATCGCTTTTTCAGTTGTTTAGGAGTCTAGTGGTCTACTTCAGGAAACTCAGTTTTGCAGCAATTTTTCCCAGCCCCAAGGAGCTTGAGAAATCTCTGTCTATGTCTCTTTGTCTCTCCCTCTCTGTTTCTCTCTCTTTGTCAGCCTCTGCTTTGCTGTTGCTTCAGCTGCCATGAAACGGGGAGGGAGGGCATGGTATTTGGGAGGGGTTACTCATTGTGCTGGAGGAAGGTTCTGGAGTTCATCTGCCTGTCGGACTACGCATGCGTAGGAGATTCCCGCCAGGACTACCGGCACCGACATTCCATCTTCGTGATGCCTTTTGAAGTTATCTCACACCTGACACTTGGGAGAATTATGATTGGACTGTAACTGTGATGCCAAGGGGTGGGGAATGGGCTATTCTATATATCAATCGCTTTCGCACCTAAATAATCAGACTTCGCTTACTGTCAGATCCTCTCCATTAGATAATTAGTAAAAGTACACTTGATTTCTACTCATGGAGTCTCGTGGTCTTCTTTCCTAATTATCTAATGGAGAGGATCTGACACTCTTTGTCTCTATCCTCTCTTTCTCTTTCTGTCTCTTTTCCTCTCCCTCTCCCTCTGTCCCCCTCTCTCTCTGTCCCCCCCCCTCTTTCTGTCTATCTATCTCTATCTATCTTCTGGAGGCGGGGGAGGTGAAAAATGGGCCTTTTTGCTGGTTTTTTTAGCCCCCTGGGCATCTGTGCACTCCGTTTTTCACATATCCCCACCTCCAGAAGCATTCTGCAGGCCCAAACCAGGCAAAGATGGCTCAATTTTTGGGGCACAAATGGGCCGTTTTTGCCTGTTTTTTTGCCTTTTAGGGTCTCTGTGCACCCCATTTTTCACATCCCCCGCCTCCAGAACATCTCTGCAGGCCAAAATTGTGGGCCTTACCTTTTAGCTCTAGCCCGTGGGGCTCGTGAAGGTAAGTCCTGCACTCAGCCGAAGAGTATGGGGGGGGGGGCGATGTGGGCGGGCAGCCTTGTGATCCTGCGCAGGCCAGATTAACGGCTTTGGCAGGACACATGAGGCCCACGGGCCATAGTTTGAGGACACATGGCCCAAGGGAACAGTTAGGATCTTGTATTATACACAAGTGCAGGCAATGGATTTTAATCTAGGTTAGACTGCAGTTTATGTGTATAGAATAGAGAGGAAGACAGCACAGCCTCTTTTTCAGATCAGGGTCTTGACAGTTTTGGCTTCCTAAACTAGCAACATCTATGAACTCATATTTAAGCACAACTACTTAGGGAAAGATGCAAAATAGCAGAAAGTGTCTGGTAAAATAACAATTGTTAAATATTACTGTGCTTCTATTCTAATTCCAGGATACTTTTAGCAATTTTATTTATTATGAAATTTATTGGCTACCCATCTCATATACAATGACTCTGGGTTGATATGATTTTATTTATAGATCATAACCAAGGACCATAAAACTCTACTTTTATTTGTACATCAAAACCCAAACTTTGAGCGGTAATAATCTCCTCCATAATTCAAACGAGGTTATCTGAATGAGAATGTTCCCAATACAAATTGGAAAGAGCTTTCTCTCTGTTCCATCTGCTTGGGAAACATAATTGGCAAAAATTTGTAAGACAGCCTTCCAAAATCATAAACTCCCACCTCTTTTCTCTGATGCCTGGCAAGCAAACAATGTTTTTATTTATGTAATAGTTATTTATACTCAGTACAAAACTATAGTTTGCTCAAACAGCTCAGTTATTTCATGTTTTCCTCACAACAAGGATAAGCAAAACTGAGTCTCTAAAGCCTTATATTTGGCAGGGTTTTAAATTTCAGTACAACATCCATAGTAACGCATAGCTACAGCATTTAATGCAAAAGAAAAAAATGAGCAGACATAGAAGAATCCAAACCAGTGGAACATTAGTTAGATTTTTCAAAAATCTAGTTATTAGATATTCAAAAACCAAATCTGCAACCTATGTACTTTTAATATGTGGCTGCCAGTTGAATTATTATTATTCCCAAATCCATTTCTGGCAAACATTTCTTTAGAATTCTACCTACAAATTGACTTAGTTTATTTAAGGAGAAATTCTTCAATGTAAAAAAATCCAAACCCTCATGAGGATTTGGACAAATAGCCCAGTTTGGCAAAGGCCAGATAATGTAAAAAAGTTGAAGTGGGTTTTGGGACAAGATAATAAATGCAATCTGATTTGCAAAGGAGTTAGCTCCTAGCACACTTGTGGTTGCTTGTGAGTTTCTGCAATCTTTTCAGTTGCTAGACAGAACATCATGGAGAATGACAATAGTATTTTTTCCAATTCACACATAGCAAACTTTGCAGAAAAACGAAGAATGGTAAAAAGTCTTCTGCAGCATTAAGAGAAAGGCATGCAACAGCAGACAAAGAATGCACACACTTGAGGTTAGAAAAATGAAGAAAGCCAAGCACCAGGTAAAGGTCATTTTGTTTGGTCACCTGAAATACAGCCAACGGCTTTCATTCATCTCTTCCACCGATGGAATATATTCACCGACTCTAGTATAGCACAAAAATGGGATTGGTTTACTTACACATTTTTAAAAAAAAACTAATTGCCTTTCCATGTTGTTTCTTCTAGGACTGCTTTACCCAAAACAAAATATTATCAATGGGATGCAAAGTATGAAAATAAAAAAGAACAGTAAAATAAAAGACAATAATATTAAGTAACTCAGTAAACTAACAAGTATTATTAAGATTATAATTAAAAGAAATTAAGGGCACCAAGCAAACCTTCCCTTTCAAGTTTCCTTGATCCATAACCAGGGTTCATTCATTCATTTCCCCCTCTCACTGCCATCCACTTTGACTCCAATGCAGAGGTGGTATTTTACTGGTTTGGACCAGATCGCCCGAACCGGTAGCGGAAATTCCAGGAGGCTCTGTCCACCCACGCCCGGTTCTATGGCATCCCATTTAGCCCCCTTTTCTGTCAAAAGCACATGCACGGAAGGATCTGCGCGCACTCACATTTGCAAACCAGTAGGGAAGGTAAGTGTACACCACCACTGCTCCAATGGAATGTGGAGAGCAAGGATGGAGGAAGTCTTGATGACCTCCTGCTTTAAGTTTACAAATTTCCACATAATGAAACACTACAAATCTTCATCAACTGTAGTAAGCAAACAAAAATCTTGAGCTGAAATGTATATAGAAAACTTGTTATGATAATTAATCAGAGGTACTTATAATGAGAAGTTTTCCCATCATTCCTCCTCTCATTCCTAGGTTCATTTGTTTCTACTCTTTTCAGAATCACTTCTGTCCTTCTCTTTATGCTTTTATGGAATGCGACCATCTTCTTTCCAGGTCCTTGCTTCCTGTAGTGGCAACCTACTTTCCTGAGGTTTTTTTGCTTCTTCTGTGATTTTCTCAGTTGTTTCTTCAATAACTCTGGATGCCTGCTTGACCAACTTCAAAGGACTTTCTACTGTTTTCTCCTTAATTTTACAATACTAAGAAAAGTGAACTGTGAACTTTAAAAAAAATCTATTCCTGGAGAGAAAGCTTCAGCTTGGACTGCTGAAGGACCCTCATATGATCATTCAAATACAGGTAGTCCTTCACTTACAACAGTTTATTTAGTGACTGTCCAAAGTTATGGACAGTACTGAAAAAAGTGACTTATAACCATATTTCACAGTTATGACTGTTGCGGCATTCCCACGGTCACGATAAAAATTCAGATGCTTGGCAACTGGTTCATATTTATGACGGTTGCTGTGTCCCAGGGTCATGTGATCACCTTTTGCAACCTTTTGACAAACAGTAAATGGGGAAGCCAAGTTCACTTAACAATGCAGATTCCCTTAACAACTGTGGCAAGAAACATCATACAATGGGACCAAACTCACTTAATAACTGTCCCACTTAGCAACGAAGCTTTGGGATCAATTATGGTTATAAGTTGAGGACTATCTGCAATGCACCATTATAGGCAAGAAATTTCTATTTCATTCAGGCCAGATCCTCATCTAAGTATTACACTTTATTGGTTAAAATCCAGAGACTGATTATAGTGTGGCAGCTGGTGCATATTTGCATGCAGTGTAACATCATGGTATTTTATTACTCAGGACTCAAGAGTTCAGCAGTCACATCAAAAATGTAGAGAAGGAATGCAACCCATCTTTGCCTTGCAGCACAATGTGTCCAAACTATATGATTTATACAAGTAGTCCTCGGCTTACGACCACTACCAAGCCCAAAATTTCAGTTGCTAAGCAAGACTGTTGTTAAATGAGTTTCCCATTTTAGGACCTTTCTTGCCACAGTTGTTAATTGAATCACTGCAGTTGTTAAGTTAGTAAACATGGTTGTTAAGTGAATTTGGCTTCCCCGTTGATTTTGCTTGTCAGAATGTCACAAAATGTGATCACGAAACCAGACAACCCTCATAAATACATGCCAGTTGGCAAGTGTATACATTTTGATCATGTGACGATGGGGATGCTGCAACTGTTGTAAGTGTAAAAAAACGGGCATAAGTCACTTTGTTCAGTGCCGTTGTCGCTTTGAATAGTCACTAAACAAATGCCTGTTATTTGAGGGCTACTTGTATTCGCTTTCCTGCTCTTTTCTCTATGGAAATGGCAACCTCTGGCAACAAGGGAATATTGTGGCATTTTCTGTGATCGTAATTCAAGTGTTTTGTCAAGAAAAGTTCTGTTTGCATCGGATGCCTTAGCTAAATTTTTCACCACTGTGCCCCTTCCACTGAAGTCCTTTGCAATGTATCTCATCATTTCTAGAATGATCCTCCTCCTTTTAAGAGGCTTTCTTTGAAGGAATGTTGTGTGGAGGAAAAAACACAGTAAGAATAAATTTCGATGCATACTGTTGTGAAGCCATACCTGAATCAAAGTTTAACTGATTAGAAAGATAAGGATAAATATCCTTGTATTTGCACATAATGCTTGTAGATCATTATGGATAAAATTGTTATCAGAATTTCAATTACACAGAAGGAAATACACATATAAAACTTAACAGGTTATATTTATTTTCAAAATTCTGGATCAATGTTCCTGGGGCAATGCAAAACTTATGTGGTATTATACCATCTATCCAAGATGCCATTCTTGATGTTTTAGAAGGAACTAAAATTATGGAATGTTTTGTTTTAAAATTACTAAATAAAAGTTCCAAAATATGGATCAAGCCTTTCTGCTAGTTCTTCACTGACTGAATAACTCTTGCCAGGCTATCTTGAACAGTTTCAAAGTTCCAACTGTCAGAAGTTTTCAGAAATTACCCAACCAAGTGCTAGCAACTGATGCATCAACTATATGAAACTGTGACTCAATTCAGACATGAGTATTTTCAAGCCATAAAATTAGAGCCTAAATTAAATTAAATTAAATTTTAAAAAAGTTAATAGCTAGCAAAGGCAAACTAAGATGATAGTGGCTTGTATACTTTCCCTTTCTCATCTATTTTGTCCTTCAGTCTCTAGCAGCATGCAGAAAGATAGCACATAATTTTAATAACTTGTTAAAATGAAGTATTTGCTAATACTAATTGATTGGAAGACACCCAGAATTTAATATAAGTTGAGCAGCTACATAAAATAAGTAAATACATAAATATTTATGGCTGGTCAATTCAGAATCTAAATCATTCCAACTCAGGTTTATAAATTCATTTCAAAACTATAATGTTATATATTAGTAATGACGAACAATTTTGTTGTTGGGAGCCACAAATGTGAGAGTGCATGCACGTGTACCGGCACTCATAATGCAAACCGTGTCCCCACATGCACATGTGCGCACAACACCTCCCCCCCATACTCCTCTCATGCGTGCCACACTGCACGTTTAAGTTTAAGTTTAAGTTTTATTTTATTTATATGCTGCCCTATTCCCTAAAGGGACTCAGGGCGGCAAACAACTTAAACAGGAAGGGGAAGTACAAGTACAAAAGTACAAGTACAAAATAAACATATTAAAATGACCAACAACCACACCTGTCGAGAGGGGAGGGGAGCTCATCAACCCCAGGCCTGCCGACACAGCCAGGTTTTAACGGCTTTTCAGAAAGCAGGGAGAGAGGTGAGGGTCCGAATCTCCGCGGGGAGTTCGTTCCAAAGGGCCGGAGCTGCAACAGAGAAGGCCCTCCCCCGGGTCGTAGCCAGATGGCATTGGCTGGTGGATGGAACCCGGAGGAGGCCGGCCCTGTGCGATCTAATGGGTCTTTGGGAGGTAATTGGCAGCAGGCGGTCTCTCAAGTACCCAGGTCCAATACCATAAAAGGCTTTATAAGTAATAACTAGCACCTTGAAGCGTATCCGGAGACTGATTGGAAGCCAGTGCAGCTCACGGAGGATAGGTGTAATGTGGGTGTATCGAGGTACACCCACAATCGCTCGCGCGGCCGCGTTCTGGACGAGTTGAAGTCTCCGAATGCTCTTCAAGGGCTGCCCCATGTAGAGCGCATTGCAGTAGTCCAGTCTTGAGGTCACGAGGGCGTGAGTGACTGTTGCGAGTGCCTCCCGGTTCAGGTAGGGACGCAACTGGTGCACCAGGCGAACCTGGGCAAATGCCCCCCTGGTCACAGCCGACAAATGATGTTCTAAAGTCAGCTGTGGGTCCAGGAGGACTCCCAAGTTGCAAGCCCTGTCTGAGGGGCGTAAAATTTCACCCCCCAGCCTGAGTGATGGAATACTAACCAAATTTTTGGGAGGGAAACACAACAGCCACTCCGTCTTGTCTGGATTGAGCACAAGCTTGTTAACCCCCATCCAGACCCTGACAGCCTCCAGGCACTGGCACATCACGTCGACCACTTCACTGAGTTGGCACGGGGCGGACAGATACAACTGAGTGTCGTCCGCATATTGATGGTATTTTATCCCATGCCGTCGAATGATCTCACCCGAACTCCACGTCTCCAAGCTGAGCTTGGTATTTCCTCCGGGGTGCCAGGAAAGCCACTGGAGCTTGGGGAGGGCAAAAAACAGACCCAACGGGCCAACTGGAAATTCGGAAATGATTCGTTTCCAGCTTCTGGAGGGCCTCTAAGGGGCCAGGGGAGGCCTTTTTCCCCTCCCCAGGCTTCAGGAAAGCCTCCAGAACCTGGGGATGGCAGACAACGGGCCCAACGGCCCAACTGGAAGTTCAGAAACTGCTTCAGCTTTCCTGAAGCCTGGGGAGGGTGAAAACAACCTCCCTCGACTCCCCCGGAGGGCCTCTGGAAGCTGGAAATGGATCGTTTCCAAACTTCTAGTTGGCCCATTGGGCCAGTTTTTTGTCCTCTGAGGCTTTCTTGGAGCCTGGGGAGGGTGAAAACGCCTTCCCTGGTTCTCCGGAAGGCCGAAAATCAACTGGCTGACGGCTCGCGTACCGGCTTGTGTACTGGCAGACATGGCTCAACATGCCATCTGTGGCTTGCATGCCATAGGTTCGCCATCACAGTTATATAATCTCTACCCGGAATAATTAATCACAATAAGCCACACTAAATTCTTGCCTATCATTGGTTCTTTAGCCATGATCTGAAATTGTAATATTGTAAACTGGTCAACACTATCCTATACTATTACCACATAAACCTATTCAGTGGCTGGGTAATATTATGTGCTTAGTACAGATTCTTGGAACTTCTCTTAAGTGAGTAAATCTCTCTGGTATATATTAAGAAAAACAAGACATTTCAAATTATTGATTTTTAAAGCACAAACTTTGTTTTACAGAAAACATTTTTGCTGCTGCCTCCATTTCCTTTGTCAGAACTGTAAGCAACTGTAAGCAGTTTATCAGCTCTTTTCTGCATCATAGTGGTTTAGGATATCCTGATTCAAGCATTATTTTCCTCTAAAGGCTGAAGATCTGAAAGATAACTGGATGCTAAGTGCTCATGTTTATGCAGGACTTAAATGTAATGCAATCCTCCATCTTAATGAACTAGGTTATAACAAAGGCTCCCTCTTTTCAAGCATTTACTAATGAAGAACCTTTAAGAAATCTTCAAAGTAGTTAAGCCAAACGTTATGCAGGACATTAATACTTGCTAGAGATATCTAACTGAATAAGGTAAACAAAAAAATTGTATTGGAAGTTTGCCTGATAACAAATGACCGCTATGCAAATAACTTTTCACTTGTAAACATTATCTTTTGTTTTCACTAGTAATCCTCACCTTATACTCTAATTATAAGTTCAGTTAAACAGAATCCCTCCTCTGCACATTGCCTCTGAACACAAGCAAGATCAGTAACAGCTATGTTTCTTACTGTGCCAAAGTACGGTATTATTAACCTCAACTAGAATATTCTTCAGCTGCAGGGAGAATACAGGTAGTCCTCGACTTACAACAGTTCGTTTAGTGCCCATTCGAAGTTACAATGGCTCTGAAAAAAATGACTTATGATCATTTTTCACACTTATGATTATTGCAGCATCCCCATGGTCATGTTATTTATATTTGAATGTTTGATGGCTGGTTCATATTTATGACCGTTGCAGTATCCCGGGGTCACCTTTTGCAACCTTCTGACAAGCAAAGTCAATGGGGAAGCCAAGTTCACTTAACAACTGTGTTGCTAATTCAACATCTTCTGTGATTCACTTAACAAATGTGGCAAGAAAAGTCATAAAATGAGGCAAAACTCACTTAACAAATGTCTCACTTAGCAACATAAATTTTGGGCTCAATTGTGGTCGTAAGATGAGGATTACCTGTATCCTCTAATTTGATTAACTGGCAGTGCCTCAACCTCTAACCAACTAATACTACGGTATTATAATCCCTCCTCCTCCTTCTCTTCCCTTTGTATTACAATTGCCCATGACTGCCATCGTCTGGGTTGTTTTATGTCCTGCAGCTTCTATGATTTTCTATCTGATACATACAGACAGACTCAGCTTAATTAAAAAGAGACAAGGTTATCACTGCAAATCTTTAAAAGCTTGTCACTTTACGAAGCACACTCCTTTATCCATGATTTAGCTCAGGAGTGACTAGAAAGTTCTCCTTTGGGTAAGAAAGAGAACAATCCCAAAGTTCCAAACAAATCCTAAGTGTTCGGAAAGAGTATCTCCTGACCATTTGACAAAATACATCCCAAAGAACTTTGTTGCTGAAATGAAGGATAATGAAAACAATCAAGGATGGAATTTTGTTATGAGTGAACTATAGATTCTGGTCCAAGCAACTCTTTGCTTTAGAATTATTCCTCATACTAGTAATCAATCAAAAGCAATCTTCGATTTGAAACACTCCCTTTACATAAAAAACCCCCACATATACAAAACCAGTTTAACCTTTCAAAGTAAGCAAACTTCTGAATATATGAATTAGGATCATATTTTTCTATGCAATTAAGTACACTATTCTATTTATTTATAGCATGCCTTTATTATTTTTACAAATAAATCAAGGGGGCAATCATATCCAACATGCCTTCCTCCTCCTATTTTCCACACAACAACAACTCCACTGAGATGGATTGAGATGAGAGAGAGTGACTGGCCGAAAGTGGCTACAGCAGGATTTAAACTCAGTCTCCTGGTTTTTTTTTACTTGGTATTTTAACCAATAGACCAAACGGGCTCTAGTCTGAATACCTAGGTTGACACTGATTTTTTTTTTAAAAAAAGTCAATTATGAACAAATTGGTTCAAATTCAGCAAGAATACCTTATATTTAGCCATGACAGCATGGGTGTTGTCCCTCCACCAACGATCCAGACAGTAAAAAAGACAATAAGTAGGGTTGTAGTGAACATCATCTGATGAGCATAAGTTGCAGTGTCTCGGATGGAAAGAGCAAATGCCATGGCTCCACGAAGACCTGCAGGCAACAGTGACAAAAAGATGGTGGTTGTCACACAGCAGAGGAGAGATGCTTTGAATACTTCCATCCAAACAGAAAGCCAGCGCTTAATACTTGATGTAATCTATAATTACGAACCTTACACGCAGATTCTCAGCTCCAGGAAAGAGAATCTGTTACTATGATGAAATATGAATGCTGTTCAAAACCAGTATGTATCTGTTGAAGATTATGCAAGCCTCTCAACAATTAACAAAGCAGCTAGAAGAAATCCACCATTTAATTGGTGATTTATAAAATCAAGTTTCAGGGGGAAAAAACCCACAGTAAATGGTGGGAAAGCCCAAAGTTATGAAACTTGAGGAAGAATTTAGCAGTTGGACCCAAGTTGCAATAGCGTTTGACATCCCAACATTTGACTTGTAGAATATATTTTCAAGACATATTTAAATCTTTATGCCTCTCTGTATGTATTATTCTTTCAAATCAGTGTTGAATTTTTAACTGCTTCCCCCCCCCCCTTTCTGGTAGATCTTTCAGATTTCCAGAGATAAATTGCCAGAGATAAATTGTGATCTATTTAGAGGCTTGACATGACTTTAGAATTTTTATTTTTGTTTACTTTAACAAGAAATGTTATTGTTTTCAAAGGACTAAGGAAACCCTTTTTTATTGGTTTTGTCTTATTGATTTACCGGAAAACATCATCATATGTTGAAAATTCCAGGAGATCTTGTGCCTTCTACCCAAATTCAGGAAGAAAGAGAGTGGATAGATGTGTGCAGCTCGTCCCAGGAAAACCGCTAGCTAACCACAACTTTTGGTTAAGAATCCAACAGGCATATATACAGTATATATATATACATCTCTTGTATTATTTTCAAGTAATTCCATTAATTTTAAGAATATCAAACATTACATCGAACATCAAATTGCCTTATTTCAGTCAATGACTAGCATAAAACACAAAATCTGAACCAAAACTAAGCAATGACTTATAAAAAACAATTGCAAAGCAGGGAATACTGCATCTATGTGCTCTACTAAACAACACTGGGACATAGCAGAAGTATAAAATAGTATGGTAAAATACTTTGATTTTTTAAGTGCTCATTTGCCTATGTACATTGCTCACTTGCAAGTGCTTAAGAAGAAGTATTTACTGAATGTTTATGAACACTTAAAACTGAGCGTCTATATAAAAGTTAACAGGAAGAGATGCTCCACAGAACTAATCTAAATTGGCTTAGAAGATTTAAGATAACGAGGGAAGAACAAGGTCTCTTTGAAATAAAGAGTTGTCAGTTCTACATATATATGAATGTTGCAAGAGCCTTCCTAAAGGGCATTGGTCAGCTCAATACAAACAGAGACACAAGGACATTCAAGAGTAGCTCCAAAGAATGTTACTGTTGCTTAACCAATAAAACTGAACCCGAAGGCAGAGTTATGAAATCCATAAATAAATAGGCTCTCCTAATCATCTTTTCATGCTGAAACATCAATGCTGTAGGGCAAAATAGTACCAGTAGTACTTTGAATTTCTATCTCTGTTACAGGTTTTGGAGCAAACTATGCAGGCTCCAAGCCAATAAATCTTTGTAAGAAGGTAAGGAAATGTAATTATTAATTAATTCTTGGAATGCGAGAATTTTAGCCAATTCCAAAACAACAAGAGGCAACTTCTACATAGGAAGACTGTGGGACATTGGCTGATTCTCTTTCTGAAAGAGGACCTTTGGAAGAAGTAGGTGGAGCATGGCGTGATGGGTTGCAAAGGACACCCAAGGGTATGAGACCCAGGGATCCAGTCAGGTGGGAAGTAGGTCCAAGGCACCCAGCCAAACAAGATGGAGGAAAGACAGGTGGGTGGTGCTCCTATGGTAGCCAAGCGCCCGCATTGTGATCATTTGACTGTAGGGGAGCTCAGAAGCCAAAACTTTGGGTACGGGTTGCAAATCCCTTCATTCAGCACCATAGCAATTTTGAATGTTTACTGAATGGTCATAAGTCAATGACTAACTGTACAAAAAATTTTCACCATTCCTTTCATGGGGGATGTTTCTTCAACTATACTTTGGTCTATATTCTTGAGATTTCCTCCAGATCTCTCATCTGAATAACAACCAAACCTGACACTGTTAATGCTCTCCATGGAGAAATCAAGTACATGACAGCAAAAAGAAGAGGAAGAGAAACCTTTTAGTATCAGTTCTCTGAAACTGCATCATAAATATTTACAATAATCAGTACAACTCAAGATATTGCCGTTACTATATGAAAATGATTGAGAGGGATGAAAAAGTAGATTCTGGTTTAGAGTAAATTTCTCTCTAGGGCTGACTACACAGCCTCAGAAGTGTAACAGAATCAGCAAAGGTATGATAATAAAAGCATTTTTTAAACTTCATCCTGAAGACAAGATTAAGTTTGGGTGCCCCCTCTCCCGCATGATATATTTAGGAACAATAAAGTTCCTCATCCCTCAGTTTTCATCTGAAAGTATAATTCTCCATTTTCTAGTTTTCAGCAAGTACCATGTTCTTCTTTTTCATCTTTCTCAGAAATACGAAACTAAAGTAATTCTAATGTAATTATATTTTTCAAAATTATATTCCCATGAATTTTTTTTCTTATCGCCAAACTACTTCTCCTTCAGTTTTACTCTCAAACTCTTGAGAATGTCAGAAGATACCAGAATTTGACTTTTTGTCATCTGACTTTAACACATGTTGTCTACCTTCTTCTGAAGGTTTCTCAAATCTCATACTTGCCTTAATAAATATGCAGGTTTCAAAGATCATGCAAGTACACAGATTTATCCAACACAATACTCTGACTCAAAGACAGAGATAACATTTTTTTCTAATATTTAATCTTCAGATATAATATCTAATAGATTATAGTTTAAGAAGCTCCATCCTCTTGTTTGTATTACAGCAACATAACATTCAAAAGCCATGGTTTTATAAAAGAGGCTGCAGCAAAAGCTACTGTAGTCTGTTTTCCAACCTGCTATAAAATACAGCTGAAACCCTAAACACATGTAGTTAGGAGCTAATCCTATGAATTCTGTAGGACTTATTTCTAAGTAGATATCTATGGGATTGCACTTTTAAAAATATCTTATTTCAATGCCATAAAAACACAGAGAAAACTTCCAAAACCTTTGAAACATACATTTGAAACATGAAGAAAGGATACAAAAGCTCCAATTATGAAAACAGGGCTGAAAACATGTTTCTGGAAAGTAAACAAAGCTAAGCCCATATAAGAAAATATGAAATTCTCAGCCAGGAAATGCAGAACTTCAAAGAGCTGAGGGTAAATGTGAAAAGATTAGTTTGCCAGATACATTCAATATACCTGACACTTTATATAAATATCTATGTTTTCTTGTCTAAAGCTCATGCTAAGTAAAATAAACATATATGTAATGATAGAAAATAATGGGAAAATAATGTCAGTTTGTTACAATTGTTTTCATCATTTTATACTATGCATCTGAAATTATACACCTGAGATAGTATAATGTCAAGAAGGTAATTCCCAAATTCATATGTGCAGCTTTTCCTAATAAATACTTAATTTGAATTGTCCTCCAGAATAGCAAAGATAATTATCATAAAACAGGAATTCCTTTCTGATCTTGCTAGACTACCTCTCATCATCAGCTGTGCACATCTAAAGCAATCCGAGCAGCACAGCTGATGATGAGAGTTGTAATCCAGCAAGATCAGAAAGGAATTCCTGTTTTATGATAATTATCTTATGAATAATTATTCAGCAATATGTGAAGCACCTAAGATTCCTGTTCAGAGCTATAACACTAACCCCCCTAAAAACTAAATCACTAAAGCTAATTACGAATCAGATGTCTTTTATGTATCATCTCATATACTACAATGAGTAGCATAAGAGGTGCCTAGTATTCCATTAGCTGAATGTTGAAGTATATCACCATATCTATAGATACCAGTGTTTGGACCTTGCCTCACAATCATTTAGTCATATAGGAAGAACAGATCATGTTGTCACTACTTTAGTCCTTAAATGTCCCAGCACAACTGAAACTACTGAATAAAAGAAGGTCCCAATCCTGCCATAACTCATGAAAGGTATCCTAGCAGAATCATGTATCAAAGATGGGAATACATAAGTCACACACAGGGAAAAGTATAGAAGAATAGTCAAGAATCTTTGTCCCAGCCCCATAGTTCTGTAAGCCTAACAACGTTTTGCGGAACATGACAGAGTACAGTTCAATGTACAACTCGGGATCCCCTGAGGTCTGGGTTACAATTCAAAGAAGACTGCACTTGATTGTTTTCCCAATCACATATTTCAGTTCATCAATTTTTATTAACTGCAAAGAGCGTTTTCTGTTCTTATCAAGTAAGAACCACCTGACACAATAAATGCATGGGAACAATACAAATCATGCCTATTTACACAGCAAAGCCAAGATTATTTTTTCCTCACCTGCTTGGTTCGGCTTCTTGATTCAACAGATAGATTATTGTATGTGTAATGAGCTTGTGTTATACCACAGAAAAGAACAGATACTACCCCTGTCAAGAAAACAGCAATAAAAAAAACATTAAAAAACTGTAGATTGTCTCTTTTTTATGCTCATTAAGATTTTAAATATGTTTTCTTTCATTCCTAAAGTATTAAATATCTGGCTTGCCTATGAGGACCTGGTAGGTTAACCTTTTCTAAGGCATGTATCCCCATGAAAAGCTACAGAGCTTAATCTTACTTGAAGATATTATCATAGGTCCTAGATACCTAGTTCTGTATTCCTAGAAGAAAACTGCTGTAGAGCCTGCCATACAGCATCTTCTCAGATGCCCATTATTATATATATTCCATATTTGTAGAGAGAATCTTGACAACTCCCGATTCTTCAAACCATTGGTGAGATTGAAATAAAATACTAGGCTCATTCTGACATTGAGAAATCAATCTATATTTTTTTAGAATACAAGCATTTTGTCTACAATCATCTAGGTACAAAGGACAAAATTACAACTAGACGCTTATATGTTTCAGCAATTCAGTGACATTTGAAACTTAGTGCTTAGAATGTACTACATTTCAGTTCATACAATGCTTCAAAATTTTTAAAGATTTATTTCCTGCTAATAAAGAAAATTGTAAATAGCCTACTAGAACCAAAAATAATACAACATAGATCATATGTTGTCTACAATAGTTCAATATAAATAATTCTGTATTTATATAAAATTCAGTCTATTAAAAATGTTAACAATCTTATTTAAATGAAAACAAATACAGAGCTAAGGAATCAACTTCAGCTTTTCTGGCTCTGATTGAAACTTCTGAGTTTGCTTTTCAAAAAACCACAGTCTCCATAATAATGTTTAAAAATGTATTTCCAATGACAAATCTACAAAATAGAAAATCTGAATATTATAAATAAAAGCTCTTCAACTACCGGGATTTTCAATAATGGTCATGCTGGCTTAGAATTCTGGGAGTTGGTCTGCATATCTGATTAGCAAAAGCTGCCTTATGGTTCAGTAGCCAATTCAAAATATACAAGGATGTTCCTCTTTTTGTACAATTCAAGCTGATTTTGAACTCTGTAACACCACTAAAGGCAACTTAGTCCAGGAACATACACATCATCAAAATATTAAGAAATGTGCAAAAGTCATTCTCAATTGAAGTATACATTGTTGTTTTTAGCATTTATTTTGATGTAGGGATAAGGGCAAGGAACTAAATTATAGCTTGCATAACTTTTCAAATTCAATATTCTAACGATGCTTCCAGGCAAATCAGTGTGAATCTAGTATCAGTTCAAAACATATTTAAGGCCACCACACACAGTTCTAGGAAAAGATGCCACTGCCTTTAGATACTGAGAGCAAGTACTATGATTTTGTTCCTGCACATGATTCAAAGCCCAGACTGAATTCAAAATGTTTGCAGAAGTCTATTCAATTATATACTCCATTCNATATTTTATTTGTTTTCAGCACACCAAAATACATGGAAATTCGATGAAAATAATCAAACAGCTTTTTAGTCGCAGACCTGTGAATCACAGCATTGTGCAAAGCAAGCTTAATAGGTTCAGTGGGGCATCATTTTAGAACTGCGGCGCTGCCATATGTTGACATTTTAATTCCTATTTGGAAAATGAGGAAGTTCTATTTATAAATAAACTCATGTCCATAAACATACTAGATTTTTTTCTAAAACATTTTTCTAAAACATTAAGAGGGATTCATACCCTCTTTTTTGATTCAGTATATTGCAGTTTCTGATAACCACCAAACCATTCAGAAGTTCTAAAAGAAAACATAAAATGTAAGCATTTGATCCTTAAAATGTCCTATCTTTATCCGATTTATGCTTGAGCAATTCACTGGACAAAACCCAAAACACACTGAGTAATTAAGCATCAATTTGGAAACTGAAAAGAATACATTTTGTTTAGCACCTTGGTTTCTGCAGCGATTCCAGCAACTAGCAGGTTGATTTGACAAGTAGCCAGCTTCAAAATGAATTCCACTGTTTAGTTTTAAAGAAGTATTGTAAGACAGGATTAAATAACCAGTTTGCTCACTTAAAGAGCCCTTAATTTAAGTTCAAATGTATTTGGTTTTGTTATTTGAGACATTAAGTCTTCTCATCATGTTAAACATTCTGCCAAAGCCCTACACAGGAAGGGCTTATCATAGGTCTACATTTTGACTTGGATATATTTATATTGGGTACAAGAGCGTTGAGAATACTTTCTGAATAGTTGCTTTTAAAACTTGATCACAAAAAAGCACCTGCAGAAGAAGCAAATAAAAGCAGAAGAATAGTAGCATCTAAGCCAAAATACTTAATTCTGAAAAAAACAAAAACCTGAGCCACAGATGGATATTTTGAACCTAGAATTTTTCTGTAATTATTGCTGGCATGCTGAAGCTAAGAATTTGAGCAGCAGGAGAAAAATGGTGCTAATCCTTAAGGCTGTGGTTATGAATGACTGAAGCGTGGGAGAATGAAAGTTAGAATCTGTACAGAAGTTCACTTCTGATCTTCTTTAGGGACTTGCTGATTGAACAGATAAAGCCCTGTGGAATAATGGAACTCTACCTAGTTTGACCTCATTTTGTCATATTGGCAAGCATTCTTAAGGCAATCAACTGCCACTGTAAGAGGCCACTTTAATTGCACACTTCCAACATGTGGGCTAGGTTTCTTGGTTAGTTAACTTTTCAAGGCCTGTTTTAGCAGAAGTGTGATTACATAATAAAGAACAAAGGCGTCTTAGCCAATCAAGCTCCTACTGGGAAACCCTATAGAGTGAGGGCAGCCTTTACTCTGCTCAAATAGCAGCCCTCTGGTGGCACAGGGGGCTTTATCAGGATGGCAGTATTAGCTCAGCATGTCTCTGCAGCCCCTTTCACTTTCAGAAATGAACAGCTGAAGAGAAGGAATATCCTTTTGCTTCCAAACCCAACCAGTGCTTGAAAAGATAACATTTGTTATCTCAGCAGCACCTGAGGCTTTTTTCTGCTGAACTGACAGAAGAGATTGGCTTCTACACATACTCTGGCAGGTTTGTTCAAATTTGTGGCCTCTCCTGTTCAACCGGTCTTTCTGTTTGTATTTGGTCTTCAATTTGGGAAGCAGAGGGAGGTAGGAAAAGTAGATGACAAGGACAACAGGATGATGCAATTCACAGAAGGGAATTAACCTTTCCAGTTGCTTGATATCCCTGTTTGCACCAAAGTAAACAGAAACCAATCAATGAGAACCTTGTTTCATTGTAAAAAACATTTTTTTAAAAAGCATATCTAAAAAGGAACATAAAAAACCGTGAACTATTAGGATTTTTTCCAAAGGAAAACAGGAAATGTATTTCTACAAGCTTTATTAAATAACCATCTTATAAAACTAATGATTGAAGTAAAAGAAGTAGAGAAAAAGAGCAGCATTTATTTATCTTGTTGTATTTTTACCCTGTCTTTCTTCTGGAGGCTGAAAGTGACACACAATGATTCATCTTTGTAGTTTGTAAGTTATTGTTGCAACAACCCGATGAGGAAGAATACAGTGACCAGCCCTCTGAATTTCATGGCTGAATGGCTTTAAAATTGTTTTTCTTTCTTTCTGGTATTTTAAGACATTAGTCACAAGGACAAAATTCTGAAAGACCTAAGCCAGGGAATTTATGCACTGCTTATCTAACAGGTGCCTGGTGCAAGCCATTGTGATGTCATCACCATACAAAAGGTGGCGCAGTGGTTAAATGCAGCACTGCAGGCTACTGCTAGATCAGCAGTTCAGCGGTTCAAATCTCACCGGCTCAGGGTTGACTCAGCCTNCATCAAAATATTAAGAAATGTGCAAAAGTCATTCTCAATTGAAGTATACATTGTTGTTTTTAGCATTTATTTTGATGTAGGGATAAGGGCAAGGAACTAAATTATAGCTTGCATAACTTTTCAAATTCAATATTCTAACGATGCTTCCAGGCAAATCAGTGTGAATCTAGTATCAGTTCAAAACATATTTAAGGCCACCACACACAGTTCTAGGAAAAGATGCCACTGCCTTTAGATACTGAGAGCAAGTACTATGATTTTGTTCCTGCACATGATTCAAAGCCCAGACTGAATTCAAAATGTTTGCAGAAGTCTATTCAATTATATACTCCATTCAGGAATAGTTGCTAAAAATAAATTAATTTACTTATCTTAACAATAAACATACACATCTGATGACAGGAACAATGATAGTGTTCCAACAATAGGAATTGCTATGTCATCATGACATTACTTACATTCTTCTTTTCTATAAAAGTGCCTTACCTGTAAAACCACAAGCTTCAGCCAACAAGAATGTACTCCAAGACATCAGGAAAAAAAGGGCTGTCTCCAGCAAGGGAAAGCAGTGTAGTTTGGTAAACTTTGTCACGTGAACATTTTGTCAAGGCCATACAAAGACTAGATGTGATTTAAGAATTACTGAGAGTTGTCTCAAAGGTATTAGTGATGAGGCAGAATTGTAGAACAGCTATGCAAGTTAATTGCTGATTCTCATGACATCCTAATGTAGCCAGATGAAAAATGTTTTTAAAGGTAAAGGTAAAGGTTTCCCTCACACATATGTGCTAGTCGTTCCCAACTCTAAGGGGCGGTGCTCATCTCTGTTTCAAAGCCGAAGAGCCAGCACTGTCCAAAGACGTCTCCGTGGTCATGTGGCCAGCATGACTAAATGCCGAAGGCGCACAGAACGCTGTTACCTTCTCACCAAAGGTGGTTCCTATTTTTCTACTTGCATTTTTACATTCTTTCGAACTGCTAGGTTAGCAGAAGCTGGGACAAGTAACAGGAGCTCTCTCTGTTACGTGGCACTAGGGATTTGGAGTGCCAAACTGCTGACCTTTCTGATCGACAAGCTCAGCATCTTAGCCACTGAGCCACCATGCCTTAAATCTTTGCTTGGACAATGGACAGATTCTGAATTCCTTTCATCCCTCTCATCTCCTTGTATCCTTCCGTATCTTGCTATCTGCCTCCTCCTTAAATTTTCTTGCATATAATCTTCCCATTTTAGCCTCATCTGAATGAAAAGTTTGACTTAGGCTTGACCCACAATAGATCCTGTCTCTAAACCAACTCTCCTGTGGTGCAAATTTTTCCCTTATTCAGAGCAGCTTTAGAAGATTATATGCTACCCACCACAATTCTCCAGAGATAAGAGCTGCAAAGAAGTGAAAAACAAGTTGCCTGTGCCAAAAAGGGAAACTAGGACTTGGTTTGCACATGCAAACAGCTGGAAGGCATTTTTAGCAGAAGGATATAAGAGCTGTCACAATTCCAGTCACTACTCCCATCATGAAAGAACCACTGAAGATTCCAAGAAAGACGCCCACACATTTAAAAAAGGCTGCTGCATCAAAGGCATGGGCATTTTCCCCAGTGGGTTGATATGCTACAATAGAACTGTAAAAAGAGAAGGAAAAGAGAAATAGCAATGAGCCAAAAATCTATCCTACATCATTCATCGTTTTAGACATCAGGCAATTCTCACCTAGTCATCTCTCCAGGGGTGAAATGCTACCGGTTCAGACCAGTTCTCCTGAACCGGTAGTAAAAAAAATGCTACTGATTCAGGCAAACCAGTATTTTCGATGATCAGCCGTGATGCACGATTTCCTGCTTTCTAGCTAATCTAAATCGTGTGGCACAATGGATTCCAACCCCCCTACTCCCTGCTGTTCTACTTACCTTTCAGGCACACTCGGTAGCAGGCTCCACCCACCTGCCCAGACATCATCGCATCCGTTTTTGACACTCTGCAAATGCACAGAAGGTCCTGCACATGCACGGAGGTGGCATGTGTGAGCTCTCACATTTGCGAACTGGTAGCGAAGGTAAATAGATTTCACCTCTGCATATGTCCCCAATTTCTCCAGGTAAATACAATGATGTCCCCACACTGACATTACAAAACCCCTGAGCATTTTACTTACGAAGATAATACAATAGCAACAGCATCATTTAGAACACTTTCTCCAAACAGCAGTGCATATAAATCAACATCAGCATGAAGTTCATTAAAAATTGCCAGGACAGTGACTAAAATAAGGAAACAAAAAAGAGTAAAAGATTTAACATTGTATATAATTCCTTATAGAATTTATTTTCTTTACATTTACTATATAGGGAAATGTTTTCATGTTGCAATACTGACATGTAGTCAAAGATGTTGAGAGGTTGAGTGTTAGTGAAATGACATAAGCATTTTTGCAATTTCTATATTTCCATGAATTATGCTGGTCTATGATTATAATAAATATTTAACTTGATTTGTATGTATTAAATTTATTACAAAGTAACTGTACTTTATTAGTTATACAAAACCATATAGACACAAAATTTGATTCACACATCATGTTAAGCCAAACACATTTTTGCTTGTTTGTTTTGCTTAGCATGTTTGTGAAACCACTGCATATGTAAAGTATGTTTTATGCCTTACACACTGTATGAACCCAGCCAATTATAAGGTAATTGAACCACAAATGAAAACATGCTACAACCATGTATGAACCTAATTTTAAGAACTGAAGTTTGCACCTGGATCAGTAGCAGATATTATGGCTCCAAATAAAAGGCAATCAGTGTAGTAGAATTTATCAGAAAGCTGTCCCACCAGCTTCATTAGTTTTACCACACCATACATGAGATTCCTGCAGAATAAGAGGATGCAAGGAAACATTATTTTTTTCAGTATTTTCATTTATTTCTCTGGCCTTGTTTAGATATTTTCCAGTTCTACACAGAATTAAAAATACATGAAATTCAGTAAAATATAATATAACACATAAAATGCCATGTAGAGAAATATGAAATATAAACAACAATGAAATGGTCACAAAACCACATTATTTTAGATTTAGTCTGTTATTCTTTTTAAAAAAATATATAAAACTATTTTTGTTTTGTTTTCCAAGTAATAGCAATAGCACTTAGACTTCAACGTCCTTTTTACTGCTTTCTCTAAATAGTTTAAAGTCAGCATATTGCCCTCAACAATCTGGATCCTCATTTTACCTACTTCGGAAGGATGGAAGGCTGAGTCAACCTTGAACCTGACGAGATTCGATCTGCCAAATTTCAACCAGCCGGCAGTCAGCAGAAGTAGCCTGCAATACTGCATTCTAACCATTGTAGTATATAACTTAATTTATATATGGCTACATGAATGAAATGGATGGGCCTGAGATTACATTCATGACCTCTCTTTTCATTAAATGTAAATAAATAAGAGGGCAACATTGCCCTTGATTCTTCTCATACACATCACACATAGAAAGAGAGGAACCAAAGGGGGGTGCGAGGGGGAGGAAACTACTTTAAAGCTATTTTTAAAAGGTAACCAAAATGTTACCTTTGTTATTGAGAAAAAAATTGTATTGACTGTTAGTTTTGCCAAATATTGTGTCTTGTGTGCTCTTTTACTGAATGAGCTGATTCCAAAATTATCCCCCACAAGGCCTAAAAAGTATTGCAATACTCAAACTCACCCAATAATGAAACAAGAGACTGCAGTTCCCAAGAAAGCATAAGTTAAAATTGATCCAAGATTTCTGAAAAAGTGCCTCTGTAGGGAGGGGGGACAAAAGTGAATTAGTTGCAAAAAGGAGTCCTTCAGAATTTTTGCTAAACTCCAAAAAAGAGAGTACATTTGGTAATGTGAGTGCGGAAACGCCGGCCAGAGAACAGAATGGCTTTAGTTAGAACATCAATCATCTCTGAATCATTTCGGTGGTCTATCTAATACAGTGGGTCTCAACCTTCCTAATGCCGCGACCCTTTAATATATTTCATCATGTTGTGGTGACCTCCATCCATAACATTATTTTTTGTTTTCTGTATTTTTTTGAAAATATGTGTTTCCCGATGGTCTTAGGCGACCCCTGTGAAAGGGTCGTTCGACCCCCAAAGGGGTCCCGACCCACAGGTTGAGAACCACTGATCTAATCTAACAGGTTGAGAACCACTGATCTATATAGCTCAGGGTGTCCATTCAGGGCTGAGTCAGGCTACACCAAAAAAGGAAGTTATTTGATGGAGAAGTGCTTGCTTCATAAGTTAACCCTCTAGAACAGAGTTCCCCAACCTTTTGCGGATTGGCGAGGGGGAAGAAGGGTTGACTCTGCATGTGTGCTGGGCAAATGAGCATACAGCTCCATTTGCATGAGCAGTGAGCACACACACACACCGCTCACACAAATGGAGCTTGCAAGTTAATTACAAACAATCCAGTTACTAACACATAGTCCTCTCTGTATTCAAGAAATGGTTAAAAATGACTTTGTCACGTTTGAATCTGTGGTGGAGGAAATATTTATCAACACCTTACAGGCCATAAGGGTTCATCTACTTTGGTCTATCATGTCAACAAGCTGTTTACAATCCTAAATGGGTTTAGGATTTTGCATACTCTGGGGTATGCAAAATACAATATTATAATTTCATCCTTTATTTCTTACCAATTATGAAACAAAAACTAGAACAAAGCAAGTAATATAGGTGAGAATATAGAATGCATCCTTGCTAAAGATATCCAGTCTCCTACCTTAATATTCAAGAAATCTAGCACACTAGTTTCAACGGATATGTGATCATTCTAATTTTATCTCTGGACTAAAAAAAAATCACAAATGTAAAGGCACACAAAACATCTGCAGCAGCTATCACACATACCAGGTTGCAAAAAAGCATAGCAGGCTTTTATGTAAACGGAGAAACTGAAGAAAATATTAAGTGAAATCCAGCTGTGGCTGAGTTTAAAGCCCTAATTTCCACTGATTATAATGAAATATCTCACGATAATCACAAAAAACAATAAAGACTTTTGCATTTGGTTTTTTTTGAGCAGCTACCTTAACTGAATACTATAAACCCACATCTTACTTCTTTAAGAGACAAGGAAAAAATAAAATGGCTATCATTTGCCATGTTAGATCTCTCTGAATGCTTTTTAGATGATGACTGCCTTATTTTCTAAGTGGAACTATTCTTATGAAAATAAACTACAAGACTTTCAGCATAAGACATGGCCTACATCATGAAGATTATATGAAAATTTCTATACAGGTTATGTACCTTGAAAACATTCCAAGAGCATCTTATTCCCATATAACCCAATCAACCTTCTAAAACTTGGAAGATCTTGGTTGATACCCTAAAGAACACTATTTGAGATTACAATAAATTTTGAGGTCTGAACATCAGCCAATGGAAGTTAAGTGTGTGGCCACATAGTTAGGTGATAACTGTAACTAATTTATAGCAGGGATATGAACAATTTACAAATTAAAGAACAGACTACTCCTGTGAACTCCAGCATGATCAATTTCTCCTCCAGAACATGCCATTCTAGCAGTTCAGTAGTTTCCAAAAGTAAACCTTTCAAACTGGAACATAATATACGAAAAAGTCAATTTTACATGAAGACAAGGTAAAAATCCCAATTGTGAAAATAAGAGTACATGAAGCTTACTTTCTTTAAACTGTAGCCAGCATGGAAAATAATGGGAGGCAAAAGGATGTTGAAGAATACTTCTGGGTCAAAAGTTACCTTAAAAGAAAAAGAGAGAGAATATGTTACTGAATAAAATGTCTATGTGGCTATATTTTTGATAGTTTCTCGTGACATGTTTTTCAAATTATTTTTCTGAAATTATTACTTTGATATCTGCCTCAGAAAACAGATTTTATTGCAAGAAGTTCTTACATTGCTCTAATTCATAAGTGTGTGTTCCACTTTGCAAGATGATTCAGGCAACCATTTAATTTTCCCAACAAAAGTTTCACAACCTACAGGTTGCACATAGCAAAATGGTGGCTTTTCTTCAGATACTGAGATCACAGTTAGTAATACAACCAGCAGCTGAACAAAAGAAGTTTGGATTCATATCCTTATTAGGGATAAGGATATGGATAGGGGTAGGTGGCTTTGGATAATCTATCCCTTACATTTAGTTCCTGATTTATAAAAAAAATAAAAGAAGAAGCAAACCACATCATGACTTGTGAGAAAGAAGAAACAACTATTTAATAGTATATGTTGCACACACCCTGAGATTTTGAGATTATATGAAGGAAGTACCCTAGGTAGTAGGAGGAGAGAAAATAAACTATCAAATTGCTACAGAAAGATCAATAATCATGCTTAAGGGCCACAGAATGCAGAAGAGATGGGTTGTTACTGTATCTGAACAACACTATAAATTGCATCCTACTACTAGGAAAGATCACATAGCATTTCATATTTTCAGCTTTGAAAAAATCTTGTGTCAAATGGTACCGTTCAGTAAGAAAGGAACCTTAGTCAACAAAAGGCAACTCTCACTTTTCGCAGTATATCATTCTGTTCCACATTGTGTATTTTTCCAGGGCTTATTTCTCCTTTTAAAGTATATTCAAAGAACTTCCCACTGATGTTGACCAACAGAGTGGAATAAGCCCTGTCTTCCTGAGAACAGCTGAAAGGTTTGTCATGACCACTGGCAGGAGGTATACCATATCTCAAGATTACTCCAACAATCAACCCTGAAAGACAAATAGGACCACAAGTTACATCCTACTGGGGCCATATAAGCTTTTACATGTTTTATTATTAAGAAGGATTTGTCATTGACTGATTACATTTTATATTCATTTTCGTGTTCTACACAAGAATGGGTATGCAGATATTTTTCTCATCATTGTAAGTACAACCATAATACAGGTCTGCAAAAAAACTTTTTTTCAAGAGCTGTTTTGGTTATTCCACGTAATCTTTATGTTTTTTGGTGTGCTGAATCCGAAAATGACCTCCATTTTG